AAACTGTGACTCTCAAAGAAAAGTCACTTTCCCTTCATTAATACCCAGCTTCCTTTGGAAAACTCTTTTGCAGCTGCCAAATTAAGGAGATGGGAGAAACCCTTTTAGAGGTTGAAGAGAGAATTTTTCAAAAGCCAGATCTAGGCGGTGGCTTTGGCAGAAAGAAATGCACGATGGCCACCTATCCACTTCCAAACAAGAGAGGCAGTGTAATATGACAAAAGAAGAGGACAAAACTTACACGTTTCCTTTGCACCGTTCTATGCACCAAGGTAAAAATGGAAAAATGCTGCTATGATTTACCGTAATTTCTGGCATATAAGATGACTCGGCGTATAAGACGACCCCCGACTTCGGAGCTGATTTGCATGCCTAGAAAGTCATCTTATACGCTGGAAACTACCGTAATTTCCGGTGTATAAGACGACTCTGCGTATAAGACGACCCCCGACTTCGGAGCCGATTTGCATGCTTTAGAAAGTCGTCTTATACGTCGGAAAATACGGTAAATAGAAAGGCAATCCACCATGCATGCCTTTCGCTGCACTGTCTCAGTACTAAGAGTTTAGGGTCTATTGGAGGAATCCTAGTGTATCTTAGGAGTGGTTCTTTAATCCTTAAATTTAGATAGGAAAACATGCTCAGTGCAAGATGTATTCAGGCGGAGGATTGTCAATGTAATTGCATGATGACCTTTAATTACTGTGGGAGGAGAGGATCATCTCCACTTTTAATCTCTATATCAGTGTTTATCAATCTTGGAAACTTGACCATATGTGGCCTTCCACTTCCAGAATTCTGGAATTCTGGGAATTGAAATCCACTCATCTTCAAGCTGGCAAGGCTGAGAAACATTACTCTACATATTGCAGCGTGCCTTATTCTGCAGAAAACCTACATACCGAATTTTGAAGTTCCATAGCATGGAACTTTGGAAGCTAAGGATGCATGTATAGGAGCCTGCTTGCATTTTAAAGAAAGCAAATCAGTTTTGGATGAAGTAAATCAGTGGAGAACTGTGGGGAAGCCAGGAAAAATGTATCATTTTGTCCTTTTAAACAAGAAATAATCCCTGGGGGGAAGCTTCATTGTACAACATGGATGTTTTGCTGATGGTGCCCCTAAAGTGGGAGTTTTCCAAGCTGCAAAGAGGCATTGGTTATTTAATAGGTTATTATGGGCATCAGCAGGAGGGGAACATATAACATGTGCATGACTTTGAGATTTCCTGGTTGCAAGGACAAAATCATGGTGTTTGCATGATTACATCATTGCATTTATGTACCATCATTTTGGCTGCATCAATGCAGTTGAATCTAGATGCTACTTTGTCCAATGCCTCAGGAGTTCTTCAGAAGCAGTGCTTTGGAACATGTGGGACACCAATGTAGCACTGATTTGTCAAATTGTCTTGTCCCAGTTTACATAATTGTCCTCTGCAGCCATTATGCATCTCTGGAAAAGATACAGCTGCTTTAAAGAGCTGTAGATAAATGAAGCATCTGCTCCATTGTGTGTAGGATGTGATCGAAAAAATCAAAGTGGTGGGCGTGGTATACAGAAAAAAACAAGGGGAGCTTTGGTCACATTGTTACAGCTATCATCTTGACTTTTTTGACCATACCCTGCAGATTTTCCTGATGCCATTAAAGCACTTGTTCTCTTTACATGATTCCTCTCATGTTTAACTCTCATAAATGATAATACACACACACACACACACACACACACAAATTTTACTCTTCTATGAAGCTGTAGATAGGTTAGTATAAAGGCAAAGCTACCAAGATTGTTGTGTGGTCTTCCCAGGCAGAGACCAACGTGATTGAATTAATTGTTTAAAGAAATTGTAATCATGGCTTTTGAAACCTGTTGCTGATTATTGTATAAATGTTACTAGTATTTTTCCAAAGCATAACTGCTTTCTTCAAAATGGAATAAGCCATTTCTGCTACATCTGAGAGCGATCCAGCTCATTCTGCTAAATGGATCCTGAATGCTGAGGTTCCCCTTCATTGCACGTATCTTGACAGAGGACACCCCACAAATGACCCACAAAAATCCAACAATGGACCCGGTTGGGCTTTTCATTTATTGCAACTTCGACGTATCCTTGCATCTGGCAAGGTTTGCTATCCAAATAGACAACTCTGGATGGAGACAAGAGGATATATAGTAAAGAAAAGGAGAATGCAGAGTAAAGGAGCATATTTGGATCCATGTTAGCATAAACTTTTCAAACTTAACAAACACTTTAACTTAAAACATAGCTTCTTCCTCTATCTTCTGCACATTTTTGACCTTAATCATTTATTTTTATAGGTAATCCTTGTTTTATGACTGCCTCATACAGGGACTGTTTGCACTCACAACTGTGATGAAAAAGTAAATTTGCAACCAATCTTGTAGGGCAGGGGTGTCAAACTCAATTTCATTGAGGGCCACATCAGCATTGTGGTTGTCCTCAGGGGGCTGGGTGGGTGTGGCCAGGGTGGGCGTGGCCTATTGGGTGGGCATGGCTGGAGTGGGTGTGGCCTGCTGGGTGGGCATGGCCAGCTGTACATCATTTGTGTCAAGGGTGCCTGTGGGGGCCTGGGCAGGAGTGGGACAGATCTGAGGGTCTCTGGCAGAAGGGGGTGGGACCGGGGCAAGTGCCAAGGCATGGTCCACTGGAGGAGCCTCACTGCCTGCTGAAACCCCTCCGCCAGAGCCCATCAAGCCGGATATGTGAAGTAGGCAAGGGCCATTTGCTGGCCACTTCCAGGCGATGGTGCATTTCTTCATTCCTCAGAAAGGGTGACACCTCCCCAGCATGCACCCAGGGGACGGGGCCGATGCGGCATGGGCTGGTTCCTCGCTGTTTCCAGACAGCCTTGTGGAGCTAAGACTGAATGCGTTTCAGCATAGATGGCCACCACAAAATTGTACATTGGCTCCCGGCCGGCCTAGGCCAGGGCCAAGGCAGCGGGGGCCATTCCCTCACTGTTTCCAGGATAGCTTCGCGGGCCACATGAAACCATGTCACGGGCCGCATCCGGCCCCCGGGCCTTGTGTTTGACATGTCTGCTGTAAGAGATGACCAGGCTGAACTAGAGGGTGGGGTCAAATACATTATCAGTTTGGAATCTGATTCAGAATAACAGAGTTGGAAGGGACCGTGGAGGCCTTCTAGTCAAACTCCCTGCTCAAGCAGGAGATCCTATACCAGTGATGGTGAACCTTTTAGAGACTGAGTGCCCAAAAACTGCCCCCTGCCCCCGCTCTGCCTCCCATCATGCCTGCTCCGCCCCGCCCACCCGCAGGGCCATACACTGCCTCCATGGCCCGCCGCAGATTGCCCAGGCAGCCCTGCAGCGCCATGACAGCCACGCCCTCTGCCCACACCCCGCATCATCTGCACAATGTGGGTCGTGAGGGCGGAGTTTTGTCCCTGCTGCCCAGCTATGTCCTTGGCTGCGTTGCTTTGCACAGACTGCGCCCAGGGCGACTTTCCTCCAGGGGGGCTGCTGGTGAGGAGGAGGCCATGGGAGGAGGCAGGGCTGGGGTGACAACGTGCATGCCCACAGAGAGGGGTCTGAGTTCCGCCTCTGGCAAGCATGCCATAGGTTCGCCACCACTGTCCTATACCAATTCAGACAAATCTTTTCTTCAAAACCTCTAGTGTTGGTGCACCTACAATGTCTGGAGGCAAGTCATTCCACTGATTAATTGTTCTAACTGTCATGAAATTTCTCCTTCATTCTACGCTGGATCTCTCCTTGATGCTCTATAAGAGCCATGAGTCCAGCCTCTCCCCCCAAAGTCCATTGATTCTTATCTGTCGCCAATTTGTGTAGTACAGAATCAGCAGATCAGATTTTTCTGAATAGGTAGCATGAAATAAATTTAAAGTACTTTTCAACTCTATCCTGGCTTCTGATGTCTTGCATCTGATAGTCTTCTCATTTCCTACCATTCAACATCTGTAAAGCTGAAGCAAGATGGCGGTTTCATTTAGCTACTGCTTTGCTTAACGAGCGAAGGGCCAGTCCCAATTCTGGTAGCTAAATGAAGACTACCTACTTTAAAGCAGTGTTTCTCAATCTTGGCATTTTCAAAATCTGTGGACTTCAACTCCCAGAATTCGCCAGCCTTCATATCAAGCCACATGCTGTACCACATCAGAGGGAATAAATGCTGCCCAGCAGTGCTCATAGAGATAGTAAACTCCAACTGATTCAAGCCAGTTAACCAAAGTGCATTTGGATGCTATTCAACAAGAGTTTAGTTTAAACCAGTGGTTCTCAACCTGTGGGTCGGGACCCCATTTGGGGTCGAACGACCATTTCACAGGGGTCACCAAACAACACAGTCCACCATTTTTTTCCCCTTTTCCTTAGCTGTGCTACTCCCTTTTATTCTATTGGCTTTCAAAAGCCAATAGGAATTGTCCAGGCTGTCTCTGCCCTGCTGAGCCCGCCAAAAGTCCCATTCTGCAAACGGTGCTGCACCAGTTGAGTAGTCCTCGACTTACGACTGATTGGGGGTGACGGCATTAAAAAACTTGAGAACCACTGGTTTAAACTATTGTTCGGCCAAAGGTTTGCCAAAAATGTTGCTGTTGGTTACTAAAGAAGTAGGGAAGTCCATAAACTATGATTCAATAAAAATCAAAATACGGAGAGAGGAGAATATTTGCAGCTCAGGGCTGAACCGTGAGGGTTTTTGCTGCTCTCTGAGCTTTTCTTGCCGATGTTTCATTATCAAAGTAGGCAACAGATGAACCATTTATGTTACCTAGTTGGGTAATAAAATGTCTGCAAGAACACCTTCCAAGTTCAGAGAGCACCAAAGATCCCAAAAATCAAAATGGTGACCACAGTGATGTAATTGAAACTCAACCTGATTTTTTTTACATAATGCAAATGAAAAATAGGCAGAACTTTGATCACGCTGTCACAGCCATTTTGACTTTTTAAACTATACTCTGTGGACACCTCATAAGTAACCAAAGCTCTTACCTTGAATTTGGCTCTGAGCTTGTGTACCAAAGTGCCCTGGGGCACCCAGGGACCCTCGAGAATTGGCGGTCGTTGGAGTGACCCTCATAGAGTGCCGAAGCCTTTCCAGGTCTCCATAACGATCTTGGAATTTCGTTTGTTCTTCCAATTTCTGCCTGTGCCCTGAAAAAAGCAGGGGAGGAGGGAATAAATCAGAAAACATATTCAGGGTCCGCTCAGAGAACTCCAGAAAAGGTGCATGGAGGTAGTCCTCAACTAATGGCTGCAATTGAGCCCAAAATTTCCACTGCTATGCAAGGCAATTGTTAAGTGAGTTTTGCCCTATTTTAAGCAAGTTGTTCTATCCCAGCCTAGTTGTTTGGAAGACAGCTTACTCTGAGTAGATGTTTGGGGTTGAAATTAAGTGTTCTATCCCAGCCTATTGCCATCCTTGTTAAAGGCACAAGGACCAAACCCCTGTTGATACAATAGTCTGGAGACTTTAAAACAAAACAAACCCCTTTTAATATGGGTGACAAACCTGTCAAATAGTCCAAAACACAAACAGCAAAACTCAACCCAAATGAAGGAAATAGTCCACAGGAAACACGATGCAAACAGAAGAGTAGTCACAAGCAAGACGAACAGACCAGGATCCAAGGAAGTACTTTGCAAACGGTTGCCTTCAGCAACCAGTACCGCCCACACCTCCTCTTTTTATACAGCAGTCCCAAGGCGTTGCCTCTCAGTGCCTTCTCCTTTTACCCTGGAGTTGCCATATTGATTGCTGCTGATTTACTCTCGCTAATTGACGACGTGTGCATGCATCAATTAGCATGTCCATCAGGTGTGAGTCCTCCGAGTCTGACTCATTCTCCTCACACAGCTGACCTTCATCAGGAACACGACTGGAGGGCCCAGGCTCTGCATCCAACCGTGAGTCCTGTAATTCATCAGAGACTCCCTCTGCCCCTGATGGCCCTTCAAATGCCTCTTCCACCTCCTCCTCAGATGTGTTGTGATTCCGTGCCACAGGCTGGCACGGAATCACAACACAAGTCACCGAAGTTGTTAAGTGAATCATGTCATTGTTAAGCGAATCTGGCTTCCCCCATTGAGCTTGCTTGTTGGAAGCCAACTGGGAAGGCTGCAAATGGGCCCTGCCACCCTTGTAAATACATCCCAGTTGCCAAGCACCAGCATTCTGATTAGGTGACCGTGTGGATGTTGTGAAGGTTAAATATAAGGACTGGCCACAAATGATGTTGTAACTTTCGACAGTTTTTATCAATTATGAATCAGAATAGACCTGGAAGATATCTTGGAGGTCTTCTAGTCCAGCCCCTTGCTCAAGTAGGAGACCCCCTAGACCAGGGGTAGGCAACTTTGGCTGGCTCAGGAATTCTGGGAGTTGAAGTCCATGAGTCATAAAAGAGCCAAGGTTGTCTACCCCTGCCTTAGACCATTCCAGACAGGTGGCTGTCCAGTTTTTACTTAAAAATCTCCAGTGATGAAGCTGTCAACACTGCAAATATTGTATATTCTTGCTTTTGACAATATGCAGAATTGTCTGGTAATTATGGGGTTAATACAGAGCAGAAGGGGGGTTGGGGGTAAAGCCCTGGAAAGAAAGAGGAAGAAAACATTTGACCTTCATACTAATTGGATAATGTGAGATATGATGGCTAATTTAGGGAGGGAAGGTGCTGATAATTTAACTGCTCAGAGGAAGAGAACTTAGATCCTAGCATCCCTCCGTTGTGCCTGTGCTGACATTTTGATTCAATAAAAGACTTTTAGGAAAATAAATGCCTGGAAGTTCTTTGAAATGTTTCATTAGCCGGAACCATAACAGAAGCACCTACCACTTCTGAAGGCAAGCTATTCCACTGGTTAATTGTCCTCACTGTTAGGAAGTTTCTCCTTAATTCCAGGTTGTTTCTCTCCTTGATTACTTTCCATCCATTGCTTCTTGTCCTGCCTTGTGGTGCTTTGGAGAATAATTTTACCCCCCTCTACTTTGTGGCAGCCCCTCAAATATTGGAATACTGCTATCGTCACCCCTACTCCTTCTTTTCTCTAGACTAGCCATTCCCAAATCCTGCAACCGTTCTTCATATGTTTTTGTCTCCAGGCCCTTAATCATCTTAGTTGCACTTCTTTGCACTTTTTCCAAAATCTCAACATCTTTTTTGTAATAATGTGGTGACCAAAACTGCTAAGCAAATGGTTTTAAATCAACGACTACCTGTACTATCTAGTCTAGTACAATCACCAACTGAGAGTTTAATAGGTGGGTGTGGATTTGAACTCAGGTCTCTGCAATCTGCTTCCAACTCTCCAACCGTGATACCACACCATGGCCCTTCATAGGGTGCAAGAAACGGAGGGCCTAGCCAGTGGTGGCGAACCTATGGCACGCGTGCCAGAGACGGCACTCAGAGCCCTCTCTGTGGGCACGCACGCCGTCACCCCAGCCCCACCTCCCCCTGTGTCCCCTCATCAGCAGCCCCTCTGAGGAGAGTTGCCCTTGGGCGTGGCCTGCGCGGAACAGCACAGCCAAGAACATGGCAGCCGGGCAGCAGGGACAAGACTCCGCCCTCATGCCCCGTCACATGCAGATGTTGTTGCAGGGTGCGGGCAGAGGGCGTGGCTGCCATGGCACTGCTGGGCCACCTGGGTGATCTGCGGGTGGCCCGGCGGGATGGGGCAGGGGCAGAGAGGGGGCGGGGCAGTATTTGGGGACTCGGTCTCTAAAAGGTTCACCATCACTGGCCTAGGCTCCTGGAGGCATCCTGGAGGTTCAACACTGCTGAGTTCTTGTTGAATGACTTTCATAACGTCAACCAGGTTCTATTTTTGCTTCCCTTTGTGCACGCAATATTTGCATCCTTTGCAAGATGCAGCTTGTGAAAACTATCCCTGGAAGTATCCCAAGCCAAAGAAATGTGGCAAAAAAAAAGTCCCATTCGGCCCTTGGCCATGTATTTGTGGTGAAGGCAATTCCCTCGGAGAGAAATCCTTGCAAAACAGCTGCTACAGTCTAGGCAGCCCAATCAACATTGTGTAACAGAATTAATCTCCAGGGCCCTTCTGATATTGCGGTTAAGGCTTTAGACTGGGGAGATCCATGACAAAGCCCACCTTCTCTGTGGAAGTTTACTGGGAGACCCTGGACCAGTCATTCTTTCTCAATCCAGCCTACTCACAGGGTTGTTGTTTGGGAGAGAAACTGCAGGAGGCTGTTTGCAGCTTTTTGCTCCTGCTCACAAGGAATAAATAAATGCATGCATTCTCTTCAGTTAATTTTTTTTTATGTCTTTATTCTTGTTGTACAGTATTTATAGCTAGTCCTTTACTTACAATATTCATTTAGTGACCTTTCTAAGTTACAACAGCAATGGAAAAGTGACTTATGGCTGGTTTTCATACTTACGACCATGGCAGCATCCCTATGGTCCCGTGATAAAAAATTCAGGCCCTTGGCAACTGGCATGTATTTATGACCATTGCTGAACTATGCTGGGATCATCTGATCACCATTTGTAACCTTCCCAGCTGGCTTCTGACAAGCAAAGTCAATGGGGTAAGACAGACTTGCTTATTGACCTCATAATTCACTTAATGACTGCAGTGGTTTGCTTAACAACTGGGGCAAAACAGGTTGAAAATGTGGCAAAACTCATTTAAAAATTGCCTTGCTTAGCAATTGAAATGTTGGGCTTACTGTACTTTCCGGCGTATAAGATGACTTTCTAAAGGGTTGAAATCAGCGCCGAAGTCAGGGGTCATCTTATACTCTGAGTCATCTTATACGCCGGAAATTACGGTAGTTTTGGCGTATGAGATGACTTTCTAGGAATGCAACTCGGTGCCGAAGTCGGGGGTCGTTTTATACGCCGAGTCGTCTTATACACTGGAAATTACGGTAGTTTCGGTGTATGAGACGACTTTCTAGGCATGCAACTCAGTGCTGAAGTCGGGGGTCGTTTTATACGTTGAGTCGTCTTATACACCAGAAATTACGGTAGTTTCGGCGTATGAGATGACTTTCTAGGCATGCAACTCAGTGCCGAAGTCGGGAGTCATCTTATATGCCGAGTCGTCTTATACACCGGAAATTACGGTAGTTTTGGCGTATGAGATGACTTTCTAGGAATGCAACTCGGTGCCGAAGTCGGGGGTCGTTTTATACGCCGAGTCGTCTTATACACTGGAAATTACGGTAGTTTCGGTGTATGAGACAACTTTCTAGGCATGCAACTCGGTGCTGAAGTCGGGGGTCGTTTTATACGTTGAGTCGTCTTATACACCGGAAATTACGGTAGTTTCGGCGTATGAGATGACTTTCTAGGCATGCAACTCGGTGTCGAAGTTGGGGGTTGTCTTATATGCCAGATCGCCTTATACGCTGGAAAATACGGTAATTGTGATTGTAAGTTGAGCACTAACTGCACCAGCTCTGAGCCTCTTCCTAGCAGTTATTTGTGTTTGGCTTTTAAGTTTCCCTCCAAAAAGTCGAGTTCCTTCTTCTGAGTTCTTTTAAACTGCCCGTCGTTCTGTGACTTTGACTTTGTTTTTACTTCAAAAACTTCCTTTTGGTCTTTAAGCTCCAAGTTACGGGCACCATTGTACGTATATGGATGAAAACCAGTGAAGGAGAGAACCAACCTAGAACTAAGGAGAAATTTCCTTTTCAAAAGCCAACTGGACTTTCTTTGTTTCTCCTTGAAGACGTTTCACTGCTCAACCAAGAAGCTTCTTGGGAAAGCACCTTTGGGACAACCATGACTGGATGATTTAGACCAGTGATGGCGAACCTTTTAGAGACCGAGTGCCCAAACTGCAACCCAAAACCCACTTATGCATCGTCGGGTGCCAGGGGTGTGTGGCCCATTGGGTGGGTGTGGCCCATTGGGTGGGCGTGGCTGCAGTGGAAACGGCAGATTGGGTGGGACTAAAAAGTTCAATCAATCAATTCCAACTTTGCAAAATCTTTTTTTCCCGCGAGAAGTTGAAATTGACTGATTGATTGAACCTTTGTTTTTTTGCACATGGCGGCAGAGGCCTAAAGTGAAAAGGTTTTATAAAACCCAGCTGAAGGCCTAGGACTGGGGCGACGGCACGCGTGCCCACAGAGAGGGCTCTGAGTGCCGCCTCTGGCACCCGTGCCATAGATTCGC